TGTGTGTGTGTGTGTGTGTGTGTGTGTGTGTGTGTGTGTGTGTGTGTGAAAATGGGCAAAACATGTGTTCGACACCACAGAAAAATTATCTTCTATGTCGGAAAATATTTGCCATGTGGTATTTATACATTTAGATGCGTTGAATTTGGTGCCGGTATTTTTTGGTTATCAGAATGCCTTTTGCTTTTCTTCCATTTTCCTATTATTTCTGAGGCGGCTAAGCAGCTGCTCTTCAACACCTTTGTATTAACCGTGATCAGTACCCGAAAGCCAATAAATAAACCTTATAAATAAAGATCATAATTTCTTATTATATCGTGCACGCTTTGGTTTGTATACGTATTCTCATTTCTTCTAACGCACCATCAACGCTTCTGTTGCTGACACATATCACGAATGCTTTTAGCCTACACATACATTGTTTTGTGCATTTAAATGGATTAAGCACCCCTTTGAAGGTATTCATGGATATTTCATAATAATGGAAAATGTTACGGCAGCTATTATGTTACAAAAAATACGAAATGATTGCCTAATAAGAAACGACGAATCCAATCAAATAATTTTGACTTTATTTTCAACGTCGTTCGCTCGGATAAACCAATATCACTGAGATTCGTTTTTTGTTGTTGTAAAGAATAAATAAACTAATAAGTAAAATAGATAATCGAAATATATTATGATTGCAAAGAATATTGAGTGAATGACACCAGTCATTTTCAATAAATGCAATTAATTTATAATCAATAACTTTTAATTTCATTTTTATTGAAATGATTTCCAATGATATTCAATATTTATTTTCAAAATGTAATATTGGACCTCGAGCACATCGGCACCGTTTGGAAATGGTTATTGATTAATGATTGATATTTATTCATTATATATTTCCACTTTCTCAATAATCGTAATTGAGTCGATACTAAATGATTAACTTTCCCTTTTATTTCTGTTATTGTACTTGACGGCAATACGTCAATCAAGCTCAAATAAGTGACATCAAAAGAGTTTTATACCTTTTTCTTCTTATTTCAATTTAATTTTCACATTGTGCAATGTACACGTACTACACCTGTCGACTAACTATACATTTCATTTAGTCAACATAAATTACGGAGAAAATAGCGCTTCCGGTGTGAATCATCGTCACGTACAGTGACGATATCAAGCCATCATTATTATTATATAGTGTTGTCGAATGAAAATACGAAAATGGTTCGGATGTCAGTACAGGTTGATGCTATATACATTTCAAATATAGTTCTTGCTCTATCTACTCATTTATCGGGTTTTTTTTTGCAATAGCGAGCATCATAATGATGGTATTTATAGAAGCATAAACGGATTTGGCGCAATTCCCATTGCTCAAACGATTTACGATGTTAAAATGTACGGCAATTTGATTGGAAATGTTCCAGCATCGTTGAAAATTTATTCTGAAGAAAATGTATGTGCAGATGGATGAGGGGCGCACAGGAGTAGAATGTCATTGCCTCTTAGCCAGCGGCTGTCAGGCGACTTTCTAGCGATAATTTTTTTTTTTGCAATCGTCGTATATTTCAAATATATTATTTCATTCAAATTTATCGCTTTTTCTGCGCATAGCTTTTTGTATTTCGAATGAAAAACAAACATAAATATATTTATATGTGACGAGAATGACAGCGTGCAATGGTCACAATTGGCGGATGTTATCTTCGTTGTGGGTGTCGTTATTCCTTTTTTTCCTCTTCAACATAAGACATGATGAGATAATATCAAATTTTCACTTCAAAGTGCCATCGATAATTGGCCGGTTTCTGCCTGTCACAAACAATAACAACAACAATAAGCAGCAATAACACCCGCATACAATAAATCCCGTCATCCTTTCCATTTGGATTGTGACGGCGTTGTTCATTTCGCATAGAATATGGTGTATACACGATATACCGTCACGATTACGTTTATTTTCAATATTTTTTTTTGTGTGTGCGCACGTTGGCTCTTGTTTTATTGCTATTGTCATGCATACATCGTGAGAACTGACCCCCGAGGCATGATCACTTCAATGTGGAAAATGTTTGAAAGTCAAGAATATAAAATCAGTAATACAATAATATACTTTTCCACATGACAAACGATCGTTTCGATATCGTCTGTTTATGGAATACAAATTGTGCTGCCTTCTGTTTTCCTCATTACAACCGTATCGGAAATTAATCAACTGAACAAAAATTGTGTACACGCAATTCTTCACCGTGAATGAAATTGACGAGATTGAGATGGATTGATGTTAGCAAATCGAACTAGTTGAATTCACATCAAATAAACGTGAATTATTGTTTCTGTCAATTTTATTGTTACCTATTCTTCTATTTTATTCCTGTTATGGGTGTGCAATCGACTGACTGCATTGAATGAGCATTGAACAGGGACTGATTGAATTGGATATCTGGACGAATGGCTAGCCATCAAATTTTCAATATTCCTTTGATGAAGTACACAAATATATTGGGCATGATTAAACAAATTGCGACCGACGAGAGATAACACAAAAAGAAAATAAAGCGCGCGATTCTTAGCCTATTCCACTTCGACCGATTTGTGAAACAAAATCGAAATTTTATGACTTTGCCTTTATCCTTTTTTTATATCTCTTCATATATGTGCGCAAACAGTACGTATTTTCATGTTCATGAGTAACAGTATCATGTTGAAGAGGTCAAAATTATTGCAGATGACCTAGAGAAGTACAATGTATCGGCTTCGATTTTTCAATATTCTTTTTTATCGAATCGATTTCAATTTATATAGAGAAAGAGACAGATATAGATCGGAAGGAAGAACGACAGACAACCAAATCACATACATCATTGAGATTGTATTAAACCATTGTTTTTTTTTATACTGTTCGTATGTGTTTCGTTTGCATTTTTCGATGGGAAATAGTATCGTATATTCCCCATACAAATTAATTTTATCGGATCTGCGAATACGACATCTGTTAAAAAAGATACCGATTTTTGTTACTACTGTTGCTTTGACACAGCTCAAACGAACTCTTCGGCTATGGCTGTATTACAGATGAACTAATACAAAAGAACACACAGACTCCGATCCTGTGTATGCGTATGTATTGTAAATTTTGCACAAGCAGCTACGATTGACGACTGAGTGCAGAGATTTGTAATACATACGCATACACAGAATCGGAGTCTGTGTGTTCCTTTGTACGTTTACACGAGCTGTATTAAAACACCACTAGTAACAGAAATCGGCGAGTTTTTTAGTAGATGTCGTATTGGTGGAATCGATAAAGAAAAATCTACGATATTAGCGCTCATTGGCATTTTTTGCTTTAATATTTAGACAATGCATGCTCCTGAATAATTTATAAATTCGATAGAAAAGTACGACCACGGGTGTATTTCGTTACGAACAATGTGTGCTCATAATAAAAACAGAGAAATAATAGATCAGTCATTCAAGACAGCCGAGAGATATTTAATCGAATACGACATTCATGAACTATGGAAACTTTTCTATAAAATGACATTAAAATTAAGAATCTACGAAGCTTGCCAATTTTTTGCCTAAAGACTGTGGTATTGTATCAAAATAACGGGCGAACGTATTATATTAACCAATATATGTGGAATCATACCTGAAGATGGAAGACAATGTAATGTCAAAAATCTAGGGGGTCGACACAAACTCGAAAGCTAGAAAAATTGGTAAAAATTAGAACTTATTAGGTCATATAAAATGTACACGTTATAAGCTTTTTACTAAAAACTAGAAACTAGGAAAAATTAGCAACACTCCTAGCAAAAAAAAAAAAACCATAGATGACGTTAATATTGGAAATTTATCAAAGTTCGTACATATAAAAATAATTCGCTGAGAATAAAAAATGAAGATAACTGAGACCAACTTAGGCTTCAGTACCTTATTGATAAAAGATAGGTGTGTATCTTTGACAAGTGTTTAGAACCTTAGATATTGCCGAAGATGCTTCTCTACTATCTCTTATCCGAAATTCATTAAAGGAATAAGTTCTAAAGCGCAGTTTCATACTCATCCACTCAAATATAAATCGAGTCTAGTGCCTTGAATAGACAAAAATAATAATAATCATACGATTGTGTATTCTGTGAACACACATTTGATTTTATGATGACGTTCAAATCGTGTGGTGTCACCGTTGTTGTCAAATAAAAGTGAAATTCAAAAGAAACGTTGAGTGTGCATTTGATTTGTAATGTTATCGCAAGGCATCCTGTGTGAACATCTTATGGTTAGACATTCGTGAAACACGTTCACTTAGACTTTCGTTATATAAACAAATATTGCTGTTCTATAAGAAATGTTTTGTATAATATGTATTTTTATATGGCGAACGTGTACACACTGCCGTGAACGTCTAAGATGTTCACCCGGGATATTAGTTTGTAGATTCTCTCTTTGAATTTTGATTTCATGAAAAATAAAATGTATTCGTCTCACAATCGATACGCAATTCGAACAGTCTGTACAGCTATTAATGTGTGTTTGATGGGAATAAAACTTCGATGCTTTTTTTTCATCTGTCAATTGTTGTGTTGTTGGGTGTTACTTTTTTACGGCTGAAAAGCGGCGTTAACCGATATTACTCAGGTAAAAAAATGAAATAACCCCAATCTTCGAATTCCACATAGACAGGCAAGCATACGACGCGACGGACAATTACATATGAGAAATGCATATTAAGAACATTCAAAAAGATGGAAAAGTAACGAGGCAATGACATATACGTTGTTATTTTCAGGGTTACGCCGATGTAACAACAACTTCATCGCAAATCTCGGTTCCGTTTTTTTTTTCGCTCTCTCTCCCTTTCAATCATTCTCGTACTTTGTGAATAATAACAATCGCATTTATTGTCACAAATCGATATGCATTCGAAATTCAAATAGTCAAAACAACCAAATGTCTGCTAAGTTTGAACTTAAAGCTTTGAGTACCACGCACCAACAAAAGTGGTAGCTTCATGATTCAGCCAATCAACTTGTACGGCATAATGAGTTTCATGTTTTTGCGCGCGCGATAGCAAATTCTTTCTTATTGTCAGTATCTCTCCGGGGTTTATTCAACTGTTCCAAAATGATGGAGGAAAGTATTGAGATTGCATGAAACATCGATAAAAATAAATTAGTACATGCCTTCAATTAATTGGACATTCAAACAAGAAATTGGGTTTCAATTGCAAATGAATGTGGTATGCCAAACAGTAATTTACCAAAAATACAAAAATCGAGCGAATGATAAAGAAGCGAGCGCGAGAAGAATAAAATAGAAAATAAACAGCTCAATGAACAAATGAAGAAAAAGTATCCGACTGGAATCGATTATTAATGACCTTCGATGGTCAAATAAGTACAGAATTATCCCATTGATTTTAGTTGATAAGTCGAAGCACACCCAGACAAATATAGAGAACAGTGCGTCGATTAAGCGCATTTTATTAGAATTAATTGTTCGAAACGAAAAACAGAACACACAACAAGAGATCGTTTGCTTGCGATAATCATTACCATACAAAATTACTTAGTTAATATCATCGGTGTGAAGTTTTTGGTCAATATGTGGATACATTCGACCATGAAAAAACTGGCGGTGGAAAGCAATTGGAAATCATCAAGTATCGATTGATAAATATATTGGTCGATTATTTGCATCAATACACCAATTTTCGAATAGATTGAATGATTCGAATCAATTAAAACATTAAAATATATAACGCACAAATTTACCACACGCCGACATCAAAGAAGCTAACAAAAATTTTAAATTAACAGCATTTACGCATTTCATTTGATAGAATACATTTGTGCTAAGGTTTTTTTATATGCACATCGCGGCGACGGCATCTTATTCAAATTTCAGCATTCGCAAAACCTTTTAAGTTTCAATCAATCAAATATAAGCCATATTATTCAAATCAAATCAAATTAAATGACTACAAAGCAATCAACCAAAATCTGGAAGTGATTTAGTCCAAGGGGTCCACCGACATCATTTCAAGTATTTTTTTTTTTTTTTTTTTTTTTTTTTCAAATAATTTTAACTGTTTCTTTCAATCCAACGAAACTAGTTTTCAGTTATTTTGCAAAGCATTTAGTAATGATGTTGCCCCTGGATCTATTTCCATCGAACCGGATGAGACACTCATACTCAAAACACACGTGTAATCGATGAATGACAAATTGATTTGAGTAAACATTTATGGCACACTCCGTGCTAGCTAATTTTTTGTTCAAATACAATATAACATCTGATGGTTCCCATAAAATTCATTTGCAAAGTAATTTTGACGGTGGCGGGACTGTGCGGAGTTTGGCGGAGATGACATACAAACTCTGTGTGTACGAGGGTAACAGCACTTCTATGTGTATCATTCTTACGCAGATGATTAGTAACTTAGCTGTGTGTACGGCTACTAAGATGTTCGATTGGACAAAATAAATCTATGAACAGCATTTGCATGCTATCTCCGCCGAACTCCGCACAGTCCCGTCATCGACAAAATCACTCCGCAAATGAGTTATATGGGTTACGTAGAGATAATGTATTTGTTTATGCGGTGGATGCGTTCAAATTCAATTATGTTCGGATAATCATCTAACCACAGAAAAAACCGAATAAAAGAGCGCATCATAAACACGAAAAATTGTAATTTTTCATAAAAACCTATAGACATTATATATAAACAGATGAATGCCACGTTGATTTATTATTGTAAGGAGTGAGTGACATCTGACCACAGATATGCACGCATGAACACTTTCTGTGCAAATTCTATGCTTTGGTACACATCGGTTGGCGAAATGGTCAAATTCAATCAAAAATGTTTCAATTTTCACTTTCATTCGTCCATGTCGAATTAGAAAATCTATGTTCATTTCCATAATATCCAATTAAATTATTCATATCTATAGAAAAATGGGGGTGCCATCAAATCCGAATTCATATCAACTTAAAAAAAAAAAAAACATTATTAAGTCTAATCAATCATGTGGAAATCGAATGGAATTTTCCATATCATTCATTCGTGTTTAATGTCCAAATTAAAATGTTATTGTATTAAATCGGCCAAAAAATGACTTTCACTGCACTTTTCAACCATTCATTTCATTCATCATTCCTATGAAATCTCAATTAGATGTATGCAGTAAAATCTTATTACATGTTTCTATTCATATATGCAAATTATGAACGTTTCAATAACTATTTCAACAAAAAAGTATACTGTCAAGTATAGAACGTACTTAGAAGTAATGCTCGATGTATAAACAAGTGGATATTAAAAAATATTTTTAACCCTCAGGATCCACAGAAAAGCTTATCAATTTAATCAAAATTCTACGATTTGAATTGGAGTTATAGCGACTTTTCATGAATATACATAAAAATTCAGTAGTTTGTTGTACTAAAGCTGTTATTCATGAGGTCGATCGAGTATCGTGGCTTCGTTTTTTCGAAAGGACATCTCAGCAGCGACAAACTGAGAAATGTTAATCAAAATCGTAGAATTTGAACTCGAATTACAATGTACAAATCAAGATTCCCACACGAAAAACTTCATTTCAAATGAAAATCATTTTCCTGAACGAATTTTCGAAACAGAAAAATATCATATCTGTGAATTGAGCTCGAGAATTTGAAAAAAGAGATTTCAAGATGATAGCTGATACCTTGATATTATCCATGAAAAAAAATTCAGTGAAATCTTTCAACATTTACATTTCTTCTTCCATTCATATAAAATATACAAACTTTCATCAGTTCATATTCAAAATTATGAATTTTAAATTATTAAAAAAAAATCATCAAAATGGGTCAAAAGTTGAGACAGATTTCTTTTTATATACAATAATAGGAAACTTAGTTTTCATTTTCCATGAGATTTACATGAAATTGGGTGGTATACAATGAAAAAAATCTGCAAAAGACTCGTTACCATAAAAATAAAAAGCCCCATACAAGGGTGAATATATTTTAAATCTGTCAAGCATTGAGTATTAATGCCAAACACATTGACATGTTTAAGAACATCAACCAAGCGAAAAATGTCATCGAGACATGAGAAGCGTATCTATTTTTTAAAAAAAGTTAGTCAACTTACGGGTGAGATGTCACAAAAATCTTTGTACTCTTTCAGAAAACTTCAAAGACTTCGAGGAGGTTATCTTTTCAAATTAAGTTTGATTCCGCATCGATTACTAAGATTCGAACTGTATGCGAATAAGGACAAAACGAAAAATGTGCTCACAATAAAAAGACGTATGAATCTTAATGAAGCGACTCGTCAACTCCGAACAGAATTGAGTTGTGCGCATTTATAAATACGATGTAGAAAATTATAAGAAAATTAATTAGCGACAAAGATTAAATATTATTAACTTGCCAAGTCAAGTCACAAAAGTGCATTATCCAATTAAAATATTCATTCAAATAATCGTTACAATTCATTTCCGTGCATTCAAAAATGCTTACTACAGTATTTAAGTACCGAAGTAATACTACTCAGCTTCCGTCTCTATAATGAATACCTATCACTCAAAGCATAAATGTGAATAATTTTCTGCTTATCTTGATTTTTATTTGTGAAACATAATTTTCTTACGTATATTTGACCGAGCTTTATTCCAAGTTGCGTTACCAATTGGTTTCATTGACAAAC